GTTTGAAATCACTACCATGTATCTCACATAATCACTCGTAATCCCATAAATCTCTTTGTTTTCTTCCGCTTTTGGTCCCAAAGAGAAAAATGTATGCAATCAGCAGCTCTTGGTTGGTCCAAGAGAAAATGTATGCAATCAACGCCCGAAAGTCCAAAATTTTAATGACTTCTCTAGGATATAAAAATGGCCTCAAACACGTTGAAACATGTTGGATCATGTCAATATTGTTCACAGTTTTACTTTATTTGAAAAGCTCTAGTTCCTCAATTCGTAGGAGTTATACGCACGAAAAAGAGGTAACGAAGAAAATAAATGGAGAATTTTTGAAGAAAGTGTTGTGTAATTTTTGCAACATTGGCTACTGCTTGGAAAAAAACAGTGTTTCCACTGACTGTTGTTTTAAATCAAGAAAATTTTCTTATTTCCTCTTCACCTACCATAGCATGCCAAAAACCACTATCACTTTTATTGTGTTGTTTCTGGAGTATCGAACCTATGCATGTGGTAGAGGAATACCATGATGTGTTTGTTATATTTGACTTAGAGTTTACACAGAAACTTTGGTAGAGCATGATATTGAGGTAGGAGATCATCCTCCGATCAAGCAGAAGACCGGAAGCAGTTTTTGTGTAAACTCCCGTCCGGTGCCTAAGGTATACGTGCGGAGGTAGTCAATGCTCAATGACCTGAAGGAGAGGAATATTGAAGAATTCACCTTGGGGGTCTCCTATAGTACTAGTGGCGAAGAAGGAAGGAACCATCCGACTATGTGAACTACAGGGAGTTAATAAGGTCGTCAAAAAAGAAACTATCCTCTTCTTCTTGTTGATATAATGCTTTAAAACCTTCAGGGAATGTGCTGGTTTACTTCATTAGATTTAGCCAGTGGGTATTGGCAGGTACCACCAACGAAACGCGCTAAGCAGATCAGTTCATTTACTACTACAGCTGGGCCTTGCCAGTTTAGAGTTTTTCCGCTTGAGTTAACAACAGCCCCAACAAAGTGCGTTTAACATGTATTACGTGATTTGAGTGAGGTGTCACTCTACATAAGCGACATTCTTATTGTCATCCACGGAGACAATGGAAACATGTTCGGATATTGAGAAAAGTGTGCGCAACTCTGCGACAAGCCCGTTTAAAAATGAAGCCATAAGAATGTCATATAATGGAACCTAGTATTGAGTTTCTGGGGCATGTGGTAGATAAGGACGCCGTCAGAACAGACCCAAATACGCGTTGCGCGTTCAAAACATCGCGCGTCCAAATAATTTAGTGCAGCTGCAAACGTTTCTAGGAATGGCAGGCTATTACCACAAATTCGTGTTTCATTTTGCTCAAATCTTAAAGCCTCTCTATGAGTTCACCAGCCATAAAAATAAGTTGCCAGAACATCGAGCACGAGCAAACCTTTGGAATATTAAAGAATTTATTGAGGGAAGCGCCAGTTTTGGCACAGCCAAATATCAAGAAGGCAAAGAACCACGTTCCTTCGTAACAACCTCTGCAAGCCGGATAGGTTTGGGTGCGGGTTACTTCCGTACCTCGTATTTTTTACGTCTAAACCCCTAAAGGCCGAAAGAAGTTACCACGTCAAATTTCTCATATAGTTAAGACAAGTGTAAAAACAGATCATACTGCTGTTTCCTTGTTTAAACACCACTGTATCTTCTTGAATTTTGAGATAGGCCTTGGAGGCTCAGATGATCTCAATGTAGAACAGTTGAAAGGTGCGGTAAACTCCGTTGTCGACGGCTTGTCCAGGGACTTCTTGAGAATGTGTTCGCAATGTATGGGTATTCAGAAAATGAGAAAGCCGTTTGAGGAGCAGGAATGGCTGTCCGAATTGCGTCAAAACCCTGATTTTGCACAATTGATCTTAGCTCTTGAAAAAACCTTGAGATGAAGGTAAAGCTTCCAAGGCTCGCCAAAACTCTCAGCTCACTAGATTTTAATAGAAAAGAGCAAATCAAATTTGATGCGGGAAGGTGGATCATCCCAGTAGTGCCTCAATCGCACAGCCACAATTTTTTTGAGGAGGCTTATTTAAACTTGATGGTCACTTTAACGGAGAAAAAAGTTCAAGAAAAAGAAATACAGTTCAAGAAAGTAGCGTTTCGGCCAGGAATGTACCAGACTGGTGCGTTGGCATCGCTCGTGTCAAAAATGCTTTCTAATTAACGTAGGATAAAGTGCCACCATTACGACCATTTGCAGTGAATAAGCTTCTCCAAGTGGTTGGATCGATATTTTCAAAATGGGGCTAACCAGTCGAGGAAATCGTCATACAGCTGCGATGATCGACCGCTTTTTTGGAGCCTATCCGGTGCCGGACAAAAAGGCGAAGAAAGTGGCGGAAACACTGGATCTGAGAAGCTGGACGCTGGCAGAAAACCGAATTTTCACATCGCGGCGACCAGTTCGAAGATGGTATAATGAAAGTGTTGTGTGTTATATGGGGATTCCAGCATACAAATGGATATTGTCCCAGAGGTGCGAATGCTCAAGAAAAAGACGATAGTACCAGCGGAATGGGAAATCTTACCAACGTTTATGCCTACAATGCCTCACCACATAAAGCGACTAGTGAGAGTCCGCACTTCACTATACAGTCACGACCCCAAATATCCATTCTCAGTGATCCCCTTCGAACATCTTTTCCGTTTATCATAGACTTAGATACGCATAAAACGAAATTGTTTGAGACTTGCACGAGAGTGTATCGTAGAAAACTCACACAAGTACCGCAAAAATATGAAAAACTACTATGATCGTAAGTTAAAAGTTATTCGATCAACAGTTTTTAAAGCCGACGATTGTGTTTGTATGAAATATGCGAAAAACAGAAATCATCAAATAAATCGGCTACCGATTGATCAGGTCCTCAAACAGTAATTGACGCCAGTAGTATTTCCGCTTTAATTACGCGTACAGATGAAAATGGGGAGCCTCAAAGTGTACAGTTCGATT